TTGCAGGTGATTGCCATCTTATCCGTTTTCTTTATCGGCGTGTCCATCCTGTCCTTTTGCCTTAAGACTCACCCCAATATGCGTGTTCCTGTCATTGTCAACGTGACAGTGAGGGGCGTGTCAAGGAATGGGTCAAATATCACTCATTGGTACCTCAACAAAGACAGGTGAGTGTCTGTTTTTGTTCTCTCTACTACTTTTTTTCTATTCTCTCTCTCTCTCTCTCTCTCTCTCTCTCTCTCTCTCTCTCTCTCCTCTCTGTCTCTCTCTCTTCTCTCTCTCTCTCTCCTCTCTCTCTCTCTCTCTCTCTCTCTCTCTCTCTCTCTCTCTCTTGTATTATCATATTCTCTCTCTCTCTCTTTCACTCTCTATCTATCTATCTATCTATCTCTCTCTCTCGTACTATCATATTCTCTCTCTCTCTCTCACTCTCTCTCTCTCTCTCTCTCTCTCTCTCTCTCTCTCTCTCTCTCTCTCTCTCTCTCTCCTTCTCCCTCTCCCTCTCCTTCTCCTCCTTGTCTCTCTCTAAAAAAAGGTTTTCAACCCAATCGGATTTTTTCCGGGAGAGAGAAAAAATTGCTTGTTTAAATTCTTTCGGGATGCGAGTAAATAATCCAAGGCCAGGAGAGGTAATTTTGAAATCAAATGTGAGGACAATATTAGTTTACTATTTTTCCGATGTTTATGCTCTGTCCTGCTTATGGTAATTTTGTATTTTACTACCTAATGTATACACAAATACGCGTACAATTTGAATAACTAAATTTAGATGTATTGGTGTGTTTGCGTTTGTATGTGGAGAGCGTGTGTGTGTGTGTGTGTGTGTGTGTGTGTGTGTGTGTGTGTGTGTGTGTGTGTGTGTGTGTGTGTGTGTGTGTGTGTGTGTGTGTTTGTGTGTGTGTTTGTGTATGTGTGTCTATGTGTGTTTGAAAGCAAATGCATATATATATGTGTGTGTATATATGTGCTTTTGACCAAGTGAATATATGCACACATCCATTTTGCATGCACACGTACATCCTACCATAAAAAAGTAAAAAAACGAAGCTTCAAAAGCCAGCCCATTGCATAGTTTACATAACTTTGATTCCGTGTCTTGTTTTGATTGGATTTTCTGACCGTGATGTACAGTCTCTTTCCGGAGAAGCCGTTTCGAAGCAAGTCCCGGACCCGATCTCGAGATAGCAAAGTGCGAGTACTTGAAAAAGGTCTATTGAACTTCTCTCTCTATTTATCTATCTATCTATCTATCTTTTTTCTTGTTCTCTCTCTCTTTTTCTTTTTGTCTTTCTCTTCCTCTCTCTCTTTCTTTCTATTTTATTTTTCTCTCTTTATCTTTCTTTCTCTTTCTCTTTCTCTCTCCCATTCTCTCTCTCTATCTATCTATCTATCTATTTATCTCTCTCTTCCACTCTCTCTCTCACTCTCTCTCTCCCTCCCTCTCCCTCTCCCTCTCTCTCTTTCTCCCTCTCCCTCTGTCCCCCTCCCTCCCCGCCCACCTCCCTCACCGCACCCGCCTCCTCCCCTCCCTGCAGGACGGACCCCCACGACGCCTTCTTCTACGTGGAGGCAGCCTGCAACGCGTGGTTCACCTTCGAGATCCTGATGCGGTTCGTGGTGACGCCGACCAAGATCGAGTTCGTCAAAAACACCATCAACATCATCGACTTCGTTGCTACGCTCAGCTTCTATATGGATATCATTCTTAATCAGACGCAGTTTGCTGGAAGAGGTGGGTTGGGTTGCTGTTTGGTGTTTGGTGGTTGATGTTTGATTGGTGATGGCGAGGGTGGTAGGGGTGTTTTGTGGCAGATTGATTATTTATTTATTTATTTATTTATTTATTTATTTATTCTGCTTGTGAGATTTTTGTATGTGCGCGCGTTTATGTACGTATATGTTTGTTTATATCCTGTCAGCAAACATATATAACACATGTTGTATTTATTGAAACAAACAAACAAAAAAAATAACGACATACAATCACACACAACACTAACCTTACTCCCTCTTCTCCCCCCCTCCCACCCCACCCTCTTCCCCCCTCCCCATCTTCCTACCTGCCCCTTCCTACCCTCCTCCCCCTCCCCTACCCCCCACCAGAGGACAACGCGGGCAAAGCGGCCGAAGTCATCGAGTTCTTCAGCATCATCCGCATCCTCCGTCTCTTCAAGCTGACGAGACACTCTGGCGGCCTCAAGATCCTCATCCACACCTTCAAGGCCTCGGCGAAGGAACTCACCCTCCTCGTGTTCTTCCTCGTACTGGGGATCGTCATCTTCGCCAGCCTTGTTTACTACGCGGAGAGGCTGCAGGTAGGAAGGGAAGTGGAGGAAGTTACGATTGGGAGGGAGAATGGAGGAGTGGAGGAACGGAGGAGAAAGGAAGGCTGCAGGTAGGAAGGGAAGTGGAGGAAGTTACGATTGGGAGGGAGAATGGAAGAGAAAGGAAGGAAGAAGGAAGGGACTGCGATTTGCGAAGTTTTAGCTTCGCCCGGGCC